TCCGCAGGCTGCATTCTTTTGTTGAGAACATAAACAAAATTGCTTATTCTCCAGCTAACTACATTGCTGTTGTTAAATTGTCACTTATGAATGACATAGTTTGTTTCTCGTGTAAATGAAAATCACTTTCAAAATAATTTTTTTTGAACACAGGCAATGAAATAACTCAAAACTACAGTTTGAACACAATGCATGATATAAATAGCACAATAGTTTCTTCAAGTGCAATCATTCAGTATAATAATTTAAAAGACAAAGTCTAGAACTGACCAACATTTGTCAATCTGAACTACTTTCTTGTTGTTGAACTTCTCCTAAGCTTTATTTAGCTCCTAGCAACATCTGAACATTTTGAGAATAGAATACTTTTTTTCAAAACTTTTTCTTTGAAATGTCCCTTTATTGGCTATCTGTAGCAACCGATTGACATAACACTGTAGTGTGCATTATGAACTTATGATCTCTATACATGTTTGAACTTCTCCATTTACATTTGTCATAGCAAAGAAATTAAACAGTTATTCTAAGCAGAAAGTGTAAATAATTTATTGCGATGAAAATTCAATACATTTGGCACTTGTGAAGAGTAGAATAAGGCTAATCAGTTTAGAGAGGGAAAATTTAGAAGGAAATAAGAAAAGCTATGTAGATTACTATTTATACATATCTTGAATGTATTATTGGCAGGGTGGTGTGAAATCACAGCTACGTTTTGGAAGTAGGATTTTATAAACTATTTTTTTTTAAGCTGTGTCATTATAAATAACAAAAAAGTAAAGTTCCCTCTTCAGACCTTGTGATCTATAGGACAGATGATGTTAAGGTAATCTGTTTCTTTGACCATTGGTTAACAAGCAGTGTGTCATGTGGCCAACACAATGACCAACCCCTTTATCCTCCCCAACTGAAGTGAGGTACTGATTAGAGTTGGTTGGACTCAAGGGCGCCGTAAAAATCCAGAAATTCAAATCCCAGCCTTCACTGAGATCAAATCCAGGACCCAAGGTTCAGAAGCCTAGTGCTAAACCACTCAGCCAATGCGCCCCATGTGACAGTATAATAATGAGCATTGTTGTTCTATATAAATGTATTTAGATCTACTATTTATGTATGTATGTATGTTGGCCAAAGAAACAGATGACCTTAACATCATCTCCCTATAGATTGCAACGTCTGAATGGAGAATTTTAACTTTAACTTTTATTTATGTATGTGTTATGTATATTTAATTTTTCGATGTGTGGCAGGTGAGCGTCTCTTGACCAACACAGATAAGCCCCTTTTAGAAAGACTGAAGCTTGGACCTCATGAGACCATGGGGAAAATATTTATCAGAGAGAGAACTCTGGAGAATGGAGCAGGGAAAGTTAACTCTACCATCAAAAAGCCAATAGTGGAGACTGCTGAAGAAAACCTGCCTCATGAGGTTAGTAGTAGCTTGAGCATTCAAAAAGCAGAGCTATATGTCCTTTGGTTCATTTCCAGTCTGCGCAACTGAAACTTTTTTTATTTGGATTAAGGACATTAAGTCAGAGTACTAATTAATTCCTCAATTCACATCTATCTGTGATAATGTAGATATTTATGGGAATAGTTTGGAAAAGTAATAAAGTTATTTAGTCCAGTTGAATAATTAAAATAGAAATTAAAAAACCTTGAAAATTAGTTGGCCAGTTCCATGGCATCTTTAGTTGACCCTAACTACTAGCTGTCATTATTTAAATCTACAACATCTTTGACTGAATCAATTATTTGTTTCCTAGGTTGAACAACTTCTAGTGCTCCCTGAGGCTGTACTTACTGGGCTGCTGAGAAAATTTAAAAATGATGAAGAGAAAGAAGTTCAAGTCATTAAAACAAGGTCAGCTTTACAAAGTTTAAATCCACTATGTCTGTCTGTCTGGTAACAATTTTGTACACATTATTTCTCCCACACCCAATCTCAGATCAAGTTGATATTTTGCACAAATTATTTCTTGTACCTGACAAAACAAGAATCAATTTTTAAAAAATATAACCAATTGGTTAATTAACTATTGTTAATTAATTATGTTTGGTATTGAAGAAATGAAAGAAATTTTAGCTTGACAGATATGGTGGTATAAGTTGAATTAGTCCCCTTGAGGAGGCTTGAACCCATAGTGAACATTTTTTTTTTAAAGCATTTAAAAAACAATCACATAACACTCAGCCAGATACCTCTCTCCTCTTCCCCCTTTTCCTTCCCAACTGGTCCAAACAGTAATAGGATCATAATGCATTGAGAAAGCTAAAAGCATGAAATTGTGGTAAATAAAAACTATTGGTTAAAATATTTATAATCACACAGATTTATTATTGTTAGTCTAAATCTATTTCAACATATAAAATTTGTTTTTTCAAAAAGTATTTGTTTTTCTTGTTATTAAATCTTTTTTTTTTTTTTTTTCTTAATAAACAGACATCTTTACTACATCTAAACCAAATTATATTTGATTAATTACAAAGGTTGCTTTAATCTTCCCCCTCAGATATGACATTGCCAGAAGGAAGATACAACGTATTCTCAATGAAAAGCAAATGTTGCAGACATCCTCCAGTGCGTGAGATTTAGTTGGATCAATAGAAGAGGCAGATTTCACACAGACAGCAGTTTTTTCCAGTGAATCTGAACTTGGGAGTATATCATTCAAAAGTAGAGCACAGTTGGTTCTGACGCAACAACTTTTTTTCTAAGAGCACAATTCAATGCTTGATATTGTTGTAGAATCCTTTCTACCAATTAGCTCTTCAAAGACTCATTGTAGAAATAGGGCTTCATTTAAAAACTCTTGAGTCATGGGACAGGTGATGCGAAATTCACTTGTGTCAGTGGCCGTTTACAAGAAGTTGGGTAACCAGCACAAGACCAACTGCTCTTTTCTTTGACCCAAAACCCTATCCATTCATCATATCCACTAAAAAAGAATCCAGTGTTTAGCAGGTGGAAACTAGATAACTTGTTTGACAGTCAAGTAAATGATCACTTTGTCAACTCATGGTTCTTTGTTACCATGCCAGACTTTGGTTCTTATCTCTATTTCATAAAGTAGATAACTTTGGAACTACTGGTAGTTTCTCTCTTCATTGACACAATCAACATTAATGAAACATTGAAGAGAGACGGGGAATAATTGCTACTACATCCATTGGTTCTGTTCACCATGGACTGTGTCACATACTTTTGTTTAATCTTCATTAAGTAATGAAATCTATCTGGCCTGCTTCAATCAGTAATTGAATGTCAGCTGACAATACATTCAAATGTGGCTTTAGTTTTGCATTGACAGCTTTATTAATGTTTTTAAGTTGAGAAGATTGTGTACATAACACTGAGCAAAGATATCCTTCATTTATGTTTTGTCTTATTTATTGTTAAGACTTCTATAGTTTAAACTGTATTTTTTTTTTTTGCTTTGTCAGTTCTATGCATTTGTTCACCAAAAGAACAGAACTCTTTTATTTAAAGCAATTTTTATCTGTATGTTTACAAAGCCTTTGTTCAGACAAAAAAAAATTGCAAGAAAAATCTTTTTTTTTATTTCTTACATTTGCAAATTACCTTTTTTGGTCAGACTTAAGAGCACTAGTGACTAAATCTTGTTTATCAGTTTAATGTCAATAGAATGGATGGGTTATGACCTTTTAAAGTGTTGACTTTCTCAGTTGTGTTGTTTTTTTTTAAATATATGTATTTGTAATTTCTATCAATTATACATATGCCAGTGCTGAATGATATGTGTTAAGTTCCATGTCAATGTGTTTACATTTGACTATTGTAGATGTTGAAGGATGTTTTCTGTATAACCTTTTCTGAAGTTTCATGTAGAAATAAATTCTATTCCATAATTTTATGATATTATTTTGTTAGTGTACTTGCTTGTACATTGAAATAGCTGCTGAGTGTTTCTATGTAGTCAAGCATTAGGGTTTATTAAAAGAAATTTCTATAAATCAAATAAGAACATAAAACTAAAATGTTATTTAACCTTGGTTAGGCCAATAATAGAATATGCATCCTCCGTTTGGGACCCCTCAACTCGAAAAACATTAAGAAACTGGAACAGACACAAAATAGAGCAGTGAGATTCATAACTAACGAATATTCACATTTGACTCGAGTAACACCTTTATTTAGTAAAATCACTAAATTTAGAAAGCCTTCAGGACAGAAGACTCAAAAGTAAAGTAGCAATTATACATAAAACACTGAACCATAATCTTCAAATACAAAAACAAAACTTAATAAAATACTCTGAAAGGCACAAAAATAAAGGCACATTCCTTGTCCCCTATGCTAGGACAAATTTGTACAAATACTTCTTCTTCCCTAGTGCTATTAGAGCATAGTATAGGTTGCCTGAGCTAGCTAGGAAAACCAGTGACTTGGCAGAATTTAAGTCATCGGTTAATATGCATGACTAAATGCATGATGCATAGGATGTAATCATCTTTTTTGAAGTAACGTCTGTATTATATATGATAAGTGAGACAGAAACTTGATTTGTTCAAGGCTCCTAGGATAACTCCATTGTTCTTGATTTGTGTATAGATCCTGAAATTTCCAGATGGATTAACTCACAAAGTATTCACCTTGTTATCTCCACTTTGTTGTATGTCTAGTATGTACTAAGAGCAGGTCTGAGTGTCAAATGGTTGTGATTAAATCTCATGGATGTCATTCATTTTGTAAGCTGAGAATGTCTGTTTTGTCATGAGTTTGTTAGTCACACATTTTTTGTGCAATTCAGAAACATAGTAAAAGGGCAACACATTGAACACTACATAGCATTGGTGTTGTTTTTTTTTGTGGTCTTTTTTGAGTTACAATTTTTTTTTTAGCTATATTGAAATTAGGTTTCAGTGATGAAATCTTTTCCCCTAGTTGCAGTAAAAACTGTAGTGTTACTACAGATCAGTTTGATCAATCATTAGATGATATTATTTGGTGAAAGATAAGTCAATTCTAATTGAAGCTCTGAGAACACAAGCTTTTTTTTTTTTTTGTAAAGTCATTTTATTTGTCTATTTCTTCTGTGGCCAGGCAGCAGGTTCATCTCTTATTTTAGCTGATGTATAATACCATAAAATCGATATGTGCAAAATAAGCAATATTTATTGAAGCATATTTTTTTTAATCAGTAATAAAATTGTCATATTTGTCTGTGATGGGAAAATGTATAATTTTTTTTTTTTAATGAATAAAGCGACACATTTTTTGAAAGATTTTGTTTCTTATTTTATTTGTCAATCACATATTTCTAATCCCAACAGGATCTGTTATATGACCTCTAGAGTGACATGCGAAAGTGATATAGTTTGGGAATGTATATATATAGATGCTAAGGATTGACATAAACATACTTGACTATAATAGGTTTTGACTATAAGAGGTTAACACCTTAAGTGAACAAGAAGGAGAATAGTTACAGTGCTGAAGACATTATACATGTTGCATATCTTTGGGATAACATTGGACCCAGAAAATAATGTAATCTAGTTCCATTTAGTTCTTACGCTATAAAAGTTAAAGCCATCTTTTTTTTTCTACATGATATTTTCAAAATCACAATTATGGGAAAAAAAAATTATTTAATAATACATGCTAAGTTGCATAGTTTGTTATTTTGCATGAGATTCATTGCAATTTGTCCACACAGACTTGCATGTATTTTATCTGGTTAAAAAAAAAAAAAAAGAATTTGGTTCACCCACAAAGGGACAGTTAAAAAAAAAATTAGCTTTATTTTATGGGTGCATGACTAGTTTTTTTTTTTAAATTGAACATTGAGAAAGCACAGAGAAAAACCAAACTGGTTCATAAAGTTTAGATATCACATGCAGCCATTCATCTTTAACTGCACAATTGACCAAGTGGTCAATCAACAATGCAGGTAAATTTACACTTTAAAAAACAGTTTATAATGTTTGTTAACAGCTGCTTGACAACTTGAGTTGTCTGGAGAAAGCAGCTTCTTCCAGACATTTAGAGATGTACAAAAGTCAAGTGCAGGGGGCCATAAAAAATTGAATAAACAGTGTTGTAGGAGTTAAAATATGAGTACAGAAATATATAGGAAGTAATATTGCACACAAAATACTTGCATACAAAGTTGTATATATTCTACATCACCATTCAAGTTGTATAATTGGTTACATTATTCTGTTTCAACAAAAAGAAACAATTTACAGAGGCAAGTAGAGTGGAACTATTTTCAGCCAAGGGAGTTGTGTGACTTTTTTTTTTTTTCATACTTAAGTAGCCACCTAGGATCTGAGGTGGTAACAACATCTGAAGTCAAAATCCCATCAGATTATTCTCCAATGCTTGTCAAGTTTTGTAGTAGATGAGCTCACAAATGAATGAAATGAAAAATGTTTTTTCTTCTTTTAAACAAATATAATGCTAAATGGTGGACGGAGAGAGTCATTGCACAAACATCTATCTAGTGTCTCCCATACATCAAGAGGAAGAGAAGAGTTTAAAAAAAAAAAAAACAGTATAAATAGGTCACCAATTTATCACAACCAGATGCCATAAAAGGAAATCACTTTTTTTTTTTTTTTTTTAATTCAGATTATGTGAAAAAAACCCACATAAAATTAAAACAGCCAGACAAAGAACTATTTACACAAGTCTGTGAGTACTCAGTGTCTAGGACTGAACACCTCAATGGAACCTGCCATATTAAATTGTATTTATAATATAAACACTAGTTTGAAATTCAATTACCGGTATGTTAAATGCATATGTTGTAAAACAAAAAAAATTGTCAACAAAATATGTCATTTATAGAAAAAAACAGATCTATTCTTTGAAATTAATTCCTTCCTTTTTCTCAAGGTCTAGACTCAACAGGGCCTCCATGCAAGCTCCATAGTAGAAGATATACTGTTCCTGTAAAAGACAAAAAAAATTTAAATTCATTGTTGATACACTTTGGTAGGAAAGAGACGAAATGCTTAGAACAATTGATTTATAATTTGTAATACATTAACAGCTGATTTTCAAGTTAAATGTTTAATGGCACTGATTGAGCCTCACAATGGAGCATGAACCATGCACTGGTAAAAAGATATTTTAATGTTATTGACTTGCCAATTTGTCAAGTTAGACATGTCAGATGTGAGATGCTATTGGGATAAAATTTTAAAAGTTTATGTTACTTAGAATTGTATTGAATTAGCTACATTTTACGTGCATGATGTCTAATTTAATAGTACTTTTAATAATTGTTTAAGAACAGAGAAAGGAAATCAATTAAGTGAGATAACATGACCTAATTAGAGTCAATCCTAAAATCCAAGTGACTGTTAAGTTAATGAGTCTCAAGATTACATACTGTTGTTTGGATCATCCCATGTCTTTGTTTTCTCAATTGATGAACTATATCAAACATGTCCAACTGAAATTAAACAGCACACATGTATTAATACACAAAAAGCCCCACTTTTCTAAAAGACTCTTTTCTTCACTTCAGAGAATAAACAAAACACAAATTAGATGGGTTTTTTTAGGCGCTTCAGCACTGTGTTGTGCAAATAAGTCGAACAGGAGTAACTCTAAACAGCAAAATCCATTAACACAAGGGAAAGGCCAACACTATAAGTTAGTCAATGCTGAAGGTGAATGTCGAACTAGAAGTTTAATAATAATGAAGGGAACTGTCAAATGTCCTTAAGCTAAATCTTTACGTTCATAAAAGCTGCCTCTCTCTAAAGCCTTACAAATTATTCTGTTTTTATTTCGTTATTCTTCCTAAAATCCTAGTCTTGTTTTTAATAGTTGCATCATTGTCTCTAAGTCAAAACTTCCCATATTTGTAAAACAAATAACTAATTCCTAATCGTACCACAACAGGTTTCTTATTTTAATAGCAGCATTTCTAAATTTTGAAAGCACTCCAGAGTAGTTTTACAAATGATGTACCCTCCCCCTTTCCCTTATGCTCCTGAATTGCATATTCAGTTTGTTATTACCAACTAAGCATTACCCTTAAGAATGCATGCCCTAGCTTGAGAAATGTGGTTACAAGTCAATTTCATCTTGAGTCAAATGCCTGCATTGTATTTCTACCTTTTCAATGACCAAGTGATGGCTCAGAAGAATGGAACTAATGAGTTAAATAACAGAATGAATACAATAAGCATTTGTTTCAAGAATTAAGTTGTTATATTACTAAGACATTGTCTGTAGTCCATGAAAGAAGGATAATGGCAGAATGGTTTCCAACTATTAAGAGCCAGGAGTAACATACATATTTTGCTCTATATATGTCTATCTTAAAGTACTGAACACTATTTTAGTTTCAGTGCAAAAACATTTACATGACACGACATTCAAAGCATAGAAAGTACACAAAGACAACAAATTTACCTTAAGAGCTTGTTCAATAGTGGCCAGTGCAACATCCATAGCTATGAGTGTACCTGTCCGACCAATCCCTGCACTGCAATGGATGACTGGGGGTGAGCCTTGTTCCAACAGGTGAATCAACTGAAGGAGCTGACCAATGAAAAAAAAACAACTATTATCCATATTGGAATTGGGAAACAATTTTGCCTATACTTATTTGAGGTATGGGTCCTCAAATACTAGTTACCATGAAAGAATGTTATGAAACAAAAACTGACCAAGAATAGTCCCTTTCACCTTAAAAAAAATCTGACAGACGAGACAACCCATAGTTGAAGGAAAAAGAAAAGGAAAATTGAATCCAAACCTCCGCTGCCTTGCGACTAAACCCAAAGACTTAAAAGAGTCCACCCTGAAGTAAAAGTAAAGTGACCTTTTCACAGCTTGTGGCACACTGGCAGATCCTAAAACACTATTAATCCCTAAAAGTATAGGTTTGAAATGTTCCAGCCCTAAGGTTCTTATAATGTTCAGGCTCTATTCTCATCCTGAGAGACAAGTCATAGTTATTCAGAAGGAACCCCTACAGAGTTAGAAACAATCTATGCATTGTTTTTAAAAGTAACATAGCCCATTAATCTAGTTGTTTTTTTTTTAACTTAACAATAAATATTTCATTCCGCATAATAAACTATAGAATTATGTTTTCTTGAAAGCAAGAAGCAATATTTTAAAAATATGTTTTCAGAAATTGAGAAAATAGGCTGGAGTATCAACTTATCTGGTGTGCTAATGTCAGGGAGATAAGACATGACAGAGAGTGATAAAATATCTTAAGATTAAAAATAGAAAGCATGAAGGATGAAAGACCCTTATTTACGAGCTATATGCAGGGCCGGCCCTGCACTTTCATAGGCTCTGCACTAATTCTAGGTGTAAATTATTAAATTAGACCATATAATTGTATCTCCTAAAATTGCAAAATATACAAAAAAGTTCTGGAAATCTCCTGAAATTATTAAAATCTCCAGAAAACTCAACAATTTCCTAAAAATAGACAATATTGTCATTCTGGGGTGTAATTCAATATGAAAAATGCCAATCCTACCTGCGATAAAAAAAAACCCTGGCTTTGTCAGCTTTCATTTAATAGAAATGTAATAATAGGGTGAATTTTAACCAAAACAAGAAGTTCTAATATTTAATTAGTCACTGGGAAATAAAATATAGATCTGTGACGCACTCAATGAATTAGCTAAAGAGACTAATGACACCAGAATTTAAAGTGAAGCAGAAACACTGTATGAAACATTGAAGCAATACAAAGTCTTAGTGTTACTTTGGTTATGGTACGACATGCTCTTCTAAGTCAATTTTGTGAGTATAGAACTGCAAGGTGAAACAGTAGATTTGAGCACTGCAATGGATTCGTACGACAACTTGATAACTTGGCGAAGGAAAAGAAATTTTACTAGAAAGATGTTGGTGGTGTAAGTTGATTTAGTCCCATTGAGGACTCTTTAGCCCTGAGTGAACATTTTTTTTATCCATTTAAAAAACGATCATGTACACATTCACCAAGATACCTCCTTCTTCCTTCCCCCTTTCACAACTGGTCCAGACAAGTGATAGGACCCTAGCACATTGAGAAAGCTAAAAAACCATTGGTAAAAATATTTCTTATCACACAGATTAGGTCAATCATACATATAATTACATGACAGATCCAAACTAATTGTTATAATTACACTTAATATAAGCTTTTTTTTTTAAAGTACTTTTTATGTTTTTCTTGTTTTGGTTCTACATACTTGCATAAGGGGAAGAGCTGTGTCAGGTACACCATTGTCTGGCCAATCACAATACTGCAAAAGAGTGATCTC